TGAGTGGGAATGATTTATCCTTAAATACATGAGTTGTAAGGGTGAGTGGCGCTGCTGCCTGCAGGCAGAGTTCGCCTAATGTGTGCTGCTTGCTAGGCAAGAAGCGACGATATCTCCTGTGTGACGTTTACTCTCTGTCTCGTAATCTCATTCTGCATGTATGCCTTACACTAGGCAGTACGAAGTAAAGTCTCGTGGATCATACATTCATATATACTAGGGGAACTTAATCATGGCTGTATCGCCTTTCACGCGCCTTTTACAAAGAGCATTTACGGCCAGGGTCCGCCTCCACTTAATTAGGTTCGCTTTATCTACCCGAGCTGCCAGGCCAGTCAGTACCTAACAGGTACAACGGTGCAGGTGGAGCTGTCGTATTCGAGGAAAATCGAGGCTCACCTTCGGCTGAGCCGGAAACGCGTGCGAAGCACCGCATTAACGTACCGGGTCGAAGGGCGAAGTCGCATTGGCACGCCTCTTCCGGTGCGCGTGTATACCCGCACGGCCTGGAGGGACAAGGACGGGGGGGCAACGGTGGTGCGGAGATTGGGGCGCGAGGCTGAAGGGCTAACTCGAGGGAATGCATAATTCACAAACACGAGTCGCCGCTATCTGGCATTAACCTTGGTGGTCGGCAGGAGTCAGAGGGTAGTTATGCCTCCTTCATTGCCCATTCAACTCAGCTGAGTCTCCACTGCCTTGCCGAATCTTCTTTTCTGATTGCGGAGCGCTGGGGACTACTTTGGGGCGCAATAAGTCGACTCCGATGCAATACGATACGATGGGTCCCAAGACACATAATATCTCTAAGAACCAAGGCATTAAAATTTCACTTACTCGTGCCCGCCCCCCAACGGTTAGCCGAAGCGAATCCCACCCAAGTAGGGGCCGGCACGAGCAAGAATAAATTGGTGGCAAGGCTATGCTAGCACAGTGCGGCATTTCCGGATAACTCGTGTCCGTATATATTGCATTGTCTCGTGTAAGTTCTTTCGGCCACGCCTACCAAGCTCAGTGCCGCCTTCTTTCTCCATATACCATCTTTCATTCGGCATAATCCGAGTCACTCTTCCCTAGTGGCACCGGCATGTACTTCCTAGTCTGGCGGTTAATGATTATCGTTAATGGAGTAATCCCAGAAGATGAGATATTTGCCATATTATAGCAGGCTCTTTGCCAGGAGTTGGCGCTCTATACCTAAACGAGGTAATGCATTCCGTGATGGTAGGCACCTATGTGCCTACAGATACGCATGCGCACAAGCTGTAGGCTGAGTCACAGTCACTTCGGGTAATGGGTAACCTGTCATGACTTCGATTGTAACTAACTAGAGAGAGGAAGCTATTCACAAGAGACGGAATGTGTGCACCCGCAAGTAGGGCTTGCAGCCAGGGCTGCGTGCCCTGATCGCGGGGTAGGTTGTCACGTGGGACTCGTGCGTGAACCGTGATGGTATCGCTACCGATGCACAGGTTATTCAGCAGGTTATTATTCCAACACAGGCAGTCTTTTCTTTTCGTGATGGAATCACGAAGGCTGCCGTCCCTGCTCTTCATCCCGGTCTCAATGAAGGGAGGCTTGCTAAGGGTCGAACCAGCCGGGGGTTTTACCTATCTTCCGAACTGTATAGATCAATTGTAGCAATCAAAAAAGGTCGTCATTCATCATGGAGTCGTTAGTCATTAAGGGATTTACCGGTGATCTGCCGGATCCCGTGACCCGCCGGACTTACACGCCGCCACGAGCTCGACATCAATCCACAATAAGTCCACAGCAACGGGGCTCGATTTTCCTAAATTTAAAATTCGACGAAAATGCAATTGTAATATATACATCATCCTATTTCACAGTCCTTAAGCCACTGTGGTCGCTTGCTATTCCGCTGCGGGCGTCCCGAGCTCCGATATGCCACTACCATCTCCCGATCACTCTCAACAGCTAGAGAAGGTCGTTGGGCACGAGCTGGGCGGAATCCTTACCTTCTTTACTAACCCGTCCTTTGGCTGATCTGGCGGCTGCGATGTTACCGGAAGCTCTAGGGTTGGTGGAAGAGCGACGACTATTTCGTCTAGAGTCCCTAGACTCTTCTCTCGAGCTTTAGAAGGCACCCGCTAGGGCCGCGGCTTCTATTACGTACTTTCCCGGCTTAGACCTTTAAGATTATCTCGAAGTTATTAACTAGCCGCTTTCTCTTGCTTCTTCGCTTCTTTTTCCTATAATTTTCGCTCCCTTTTCTCCTCTCGCTACTTCTTTCTTTCTAATACCTACTCTTTTTACTCCTCTACCTTTTACTATCGCTAAACCCTCTAGAATTCCCTCTAGATTACTTCCTCTTTCTTCTAGACCTCTATCGCCGCTTTCTTTACTCGAGCTTAAGCTACTTTTTACGGGCTAAAGACCTAAGTAGAGTTAGGATCTATATAGTTAAAGAGATAATCTTTTAAAGCTATACTACGCTGCCTACGCTATTTCTTATAAATTATAGTCTTACGGAGTCCCTTATTCTTATATCTAAGTAGCTTAACCTTAGATTAAAGGCTTTTAAGAGTGCTCTTTAGCTTTTAAGCACTAACTTTAGTATTAGCGGTAGATTTATTAACTATTTTATCGATAAGCCGTCGTAATTCTTAAGCGGTAGGTTACTATAATACTAAGGAGTCTTCCGAATCGCTGCCTATATTAGAATCGTTATATTCCTTCTTTATAATCTATAATAAGATAACTTCGGAGTCTAAAGGTAGGAGGCCGGTCTATATCTACCCGCTTATAATATTTTCTAGGGAGAAGGACGCCTCTAATATATTCTAAAATAAGGTCTAGAATTCGCGTTTAGATAGCCTAATAAGTCCTTATATTTTTACTATCTACTAAATAAGTATAATAACCGGTGTTATTCCTAAGGGATAAACCTATCGAGGGGTTTATATTAGTAGATATAATAGGGCGTGGTCTAAGTAATAATAAGTATATTATATTAGTAATAAGTTAGAGGTTATAGACTATAGACTATAACTAGGTAATTAGAATTAAAGATAGAATCGTAATAAAGATCTATATTAAAAGCTATCGAGCTATTTATCTAAAGGAGTAAAAGTAGGTAGCTATATATACTTATAGAGACTATCCTTAGATTACGGTCCTAGCTATAATCCCCTTTATACTTTACTATAGCTTACTTATAAGCTATGCTCCTAAGTAGTAATCTATCTATATAAGGCTTACTTAGCTTACGTACGCTCTAGGTAAGCTAAGCCTAAGTAACTTCTTATCCTAACTATTATTCCGAGCCGCCTTATTACGTAAACGTAGCTAGCTCTCTTATAGCCCGCTAACTATAGTCGTAATATAATATCTCCCCTCCTTTTAGTCTTATCTATAAGACCTACTACTACCTTAGCCGCCGTATATAAATATACCCTTATCGCGTGTATATATATTCCCTATTTATTCTTTCTATCCCTTAGGATATACTACTAATAGTATATCTAGTCGCGTATTAAAGGATCGTTCTTATAAGACCCTCGAGCGTATTTATTTAGCTAAGTCTATTAATCGTCTTAGTTTTAACGTTATACTATATTCTTTCTATTTATCGCGCGGCTTTTACTATAAAATATTAAAGAAATCTTCTAAGTATACCGAATATATATAGTAAGGGTCGTTCCTATAATACGTTAGGCATAGCGATTAGCTCTTATAAGTAACCTTATTATCCTACTTATTATTTATAGCTAATATATATCCTAGTATCCCGAATAAATCTAGAGTCTAATCGATTAAATAAAGAAGAAGAAATTACTAAGGAGCGAATATTAAAAGCTTAAGCCGACCTAAATAAAGCCTTAGCTCGTTTAGCGTAGCTTCGCTATTAAAAGCGCTAGCTAAAGATAAAAGGTACCGAGATAGTCTATTAAGGCCTTTATTCCTTAGATAACCTTAATAAGGCTAAGCGCTAAGAATCTAAAGCGGTAGTCGATATTTAGTCTATAGGTAGATTTAATATAATTAATTAAAATACTATTAGTTTATTAAGCGATTTTATAATACCTAAGGTAGATTTTACTATTAGAACTATTAAAGTAGAGAACTATAGTAGGTTAAGTACTTAAGTAGTTCCTAGGTATTTTCTTTTAGTCTATATCCCTTTTACTTAATAAGGTATTCTTATTACTAACCTTATTTTCTTATATTTAGTATTTATTTAGCTTTATATTCTTAATTATCGTTAACTTTGATTTTTTCCTATAGTTTAGCGTTTTATAGTACTAGTTTTAATAATAAGATATAAAATATCGGGTATATCTATATTATTATTAGTAGCGAAAGTTCGTAGTTAACTTTTAAAATAATTTTCTTAACCTTAAATAGTCTAAGTTTCTTAAAATCTAATTTATTACTTAGTTATTTTATTTTAATATTTTATTATATAAGGTAGACTATATCTCCCTCTTAAAAGATTAGTCCCTATAATCTTTTCTAATTATAGTAAGTAGATATTTATTCTCTAATAAATTAAAGTTCTTATTATATTTCTTTATATAATTTTCGTAGCTAATCTACTTATAGTATTACTTATTTTACTTATTGTGGGTAGGCACCTGCGGCAGCTGCTGCAATGAGACGGTACTAGGGTTAACCTGTGATGTTGTATTCGTCTTGATTCTCTATCTAAGGAGGCAGAGGCCAGCGTGGAGAAAGGGGGCACGCTGCCCTCAGCCGCACACGTGACCGTACGGGTCACGTGCCAACCATGGTTGGTCACACCACTAGATAGATACATTCCTACACAGGCAACTCTTCTTTGCTGTGAGAAGCACAGCAACACCTTGAACGGGTCTAAAGGATAGTAGCGTTAAGGCCGTGAAGGAATGTGCCGTGAGGGCGTGTCATTATTGCGAAAAAGTGGGTCCGACGTCTTGTTCTTAGCTGTAGATATCGGGGAAGAAGTGAAGGGGTCTTCCTGATAGGAGCAATCATTTGATCATAGGGATAAGGAGCGGTTAGGAACGTTGTACGTATCCTTCGACTCGAATTGTCAGACTATTGGTATCGATGAAGCGTTCCAGGGCTCGGTTTGGTGATGCTTTCGTCATTGCATCTGCTGGGTTGTCTGCGCCGTTGATCCAACGAATATCTGTTATCTCTCTCTTCTCGTATGACTGGCGAAGGGCCATGATATCAATCATCAATCGTTTTTCCTTCGTCGTACCGAGCTTGACTAGGCATTCGTAGAGAGAGTACGAATCCGTACAGACGATGAGAGGGATAGGAGGAAGGTTGAGTCGTTCCGTAATTATCTTCATAGTCATCGCAAGGGAGATGCCTATGTCGAATCCGTTGGCCATACCGTAGATCTCTGATGCTAGGACGCTACGGGTAACACGTTTGCACTTTGTTGAACTCCAGTGTACGATGTTACCACTAATCTCGAACTGTTTTTCTTTGTGGTTTGTCTCGTTAACGAGGGTAATGACGAATCCTAGTTGGGAGGATAAGTCCTTGTTGTTTGCGAAAGAACCATCGGTGAAAACCATCAGCTTGCAGTAGCTAGATCAATTGGTTTGTACGTGAGGCCACGTAGTTGGTGATCCATTTGCCATTGCAGTCGCTTGTTCAAAATTGCGTAATCTTTATCCTCAGGGTCTGTACTTGGGCGGCGACTGAAACATCGAAAGAAGCTTCCGGTTGAGCAATTGAAGCAATGTATGAGGCTCGCGCTCGTTCCTCAACGTAGCGCTGGTGACGATCAATTGCTTTAGGTCAATGGTGGTCATTTTTGCTGCTTGTCCCTTCTGTTGAAGTAAAAGGGATCCTTTCTTAAGGGGGTTATTATTCAGCAACGTCAGTCTTGCACCATTAAAGTCAACCGTTGTTCCGTATGTGATGTCAGTCTTGGGCTTGGAACGAAATTCTGCCTTTTGTAGCTCTTCTTCTTCACGGGTAGAAAAGTTGTTCGTTCCAAGGATGAGGTGTCATCAGTTTGCATTCCAACAATACCGAGCGTGTCAGGGCCAGTATTCGAAATCAGTAGGCAGGAGTCATAGGTGGAGGTAGACATATCCAGCTTTTCGAGGTGATGCTGCTGATATGTGCGGAACCAATGGACTCCGGCTTCTGCGATACCGTACAGGGGCTTAATAACACGAATAATTGTTCTGTTAGGTATTTGCCTTGTAGTTCCGTGGGCAAATACGTAAGAATGGTCCGGGAAAGCTTGGTCTGGGATTGCGGGTATGCCTGAGTGATATCACGGAGGAGAGGGTTATGCCGTAGTTTTGAAGAAGTCCGGGGCAATAGCGAGGATGAGTCTCTGGCTAACGCGTTGAATTGTCGGAGATTGCGTCAGGAGGGTGGTCTTCTCAAAGTCGTTATGTCCTTGAATAACAAGTCGAGACTTTTCGTAGGGCTTAGTGTTGATTCCTTTGACTTCACGAACCATTCGAGAGCGAAAGATTCTATAGTTTCCATGACTCATTTGATCGTATCGTTCAAATTGGAATACACCGCGCCAACGAGGTCAGTAATCTCTTTGTTATCGGATTCTTCGAAGGGGTCACCAGGAGAGGTGATTATGCCATCAGACCGTAGCTTGAGGGAAAGAGCTTGTGCATCTTCCTCCTTTGGGTCAAGAAGCTCTGGTCTACGGCTTGGGCCATCATGATCAAATCCTTTGGCTTGTTCTTTGATCCTGGTGGGCGTCCTCTCTGCGGGGGCGGGGGTTCGGGTCGGGCAGGCAGGTCCGTTAGGTCTTAACGGGGTCTTGAGCCGGTTGTTCATTAAGATCTGAACGAATGCCTGAGGGTCTGTGTCGTGTAGGGTCGGAAAGAGTGGTATCATCACGCAGATACGGTTGTACAAGGGTCGATCGAAAGACTTGGGGCCGTTGACTGTGTCAATGGTGATGTTATGGCTATCAATCGATGCAATCTTGAAGGGTCCTTGCCAACCGTCTTTCTCTCCAAACGCGAACTTCACTTTGCAGCGGGAGGATAGCACTTCTGTCGTGCTCGGGCCGTTGCGTGCATGGAGGGCATCCTTAACTCGTCTTTCTGCCGAGAGTTGGCGGAGCATTTTCATCGCTTTCTGCATAGCTTCCGATCTTTTGAGGGTAGAAGCGGAAGGGGCGAGTCTGTAGATACGCGAGGGTATGCGCCGAAAACAAGCAACGTAGGCACAAGACCGTCAGGTCCTGCCGTATCATTGATTGCTTTAACAGCCATTTGAAGGACTGTTTCGGCGGAAGTGGTGTGGCCAATCTCAGCATGGAGGATGTTAAAGGCGCGTCGGAGGTGCGTGATAGCGTTCAATCTTTCCAATGGACCAATGCGTCTCAACAGGTACTTGAGAGCATTTGATTCCCATAATCTTTGCTTCGTTCCGGAATTCGAGAGAAGCAAAGTTAGTTCCTGCATCATGACGGAGGGTATCAGGAGGTCCAAGATACGTGTCGATCCAGAGGGTCCGGAGGGTCTCCCATGTATCTTTAGCTGACATTGACGGTAAAAATCTGGCTCCTTGAAAGCAGTAGCTGAGTCCACAACGTGTAGAACAGGGCGTTGTGGTGTTCCTAGGTGCATCACATCAACGATGATTTCGTAGTTGAACTCTTGATCATCGTTAAGGGTGAACTTGAAGCGGCGTGGGGCTTGTGAGTGCATTTGACAGTGGTGACAGAACTTAGAGATAGTCTCTAATGTGTCTATCGAGACGTCACTGTGCCCGGCTTGCTTCAAGAGGTGATGGAGCCTAGGGACTGCTGGGTGTCCAAAGCGTCGGTGAAGTGTACGAATCTCTGTTTCCGTAAGAAACGAGATGGACTCTTCATCTTTCGTAAGGAAGAACCAGGGATGTCCCCATTTGCGGATGACTGGGATGCTGGTAGGGCGATTAGTACAATGATTACTACAATTGATGGTATCTGTGATGTTATTGAAATAGATACCAAGTCGATCCATATCAGCAAGGCAGAGCAAAAGGGAGTTGGGGTTTGAAGGATGTGGAACGTGATCCTTCCGAGGGGTGTTTTTAGGCAACTGTGCCAAGGAGTTAATCGTGTCGCCGTTGCCAAATTTGATGGAGGCCTGGCCGGATGTAGAGCTGTCGAGAGCTACAGAAGGATCTTCTCGTTGTAGGGCGATGTACTGAGAATATCCTGCTGTGGAGAATGTTGCTGCACCTGTGTCGATCATGATACCTTGGAATCTATCCCTTGAATAGCGATCTTCAATAATAAATTGCGAGGCTGGAACAACGGTTTGATCCGTCTGATAGACGTCTTCTCCTGTGATCAAATGATTGAATGCCTGTTGACAGAGCATTTGGCTTGCTTGCCATTGTTCCGGGTGATCGTTGGTGCTATTGTCATGTTCTTCCCATGTATCTTCAGTGTCATCAAAGCTGCTCATCTCATGACCTTCGTAGTCTAGAATATAGCCTCCGATGTCCGTGAGTTGTACACCTATGAAGTGGCATTGAGTGATATGTTGGTCCTTGGCCTTTGTCGTTCATCCGTAGAGTGTTTAGTTGACCAACAGCCTTCTTGTCCACAAACAAAACACTTCTTTGTCCAGTTGCGGTTATTGTAGCTAGGATTGTAGTTACTACGGCTTTGAGGCCGGTAGTTTCCACGGTTGTAGCTTTGTCCGTATCCGCGGCTGGGTCGTTGACCTGAATATCCGTATCTGCCTCGAGAGCGGTTGTTATTGTATCGACGGTCGAGGTAGTACTGATGGCGTGGATCGTTATGATCGAATGATCCAGCAAAGTCAAGGGGAAATTGAGAAGTTGTTATGAGGGCAAGATGGGTTTCAACGGATGCACGAAGATCTGCAAGAAGGTGCTCGACGTTATCGGCGGGTTTGAAAAGAGCGTATTGGAGTTCGGGTACTCCACGGCATGCTTTCATAAGCGTTGTACGCAGTAGAAGGTCTCCTCCGTACTCCCTGCCAAGGGCTCGTTGGCAGAGCTGAAGCTTATCAAAGAGGGTTTGAAGCACTTCGTGGGGGGTCTTCGAAGCATCTTGGGCACGGATGGAGTTAAAGGTTATTGTTGTCCAGTCAGTATGGTAGTGGACATGGTTGACTTCCGTGTCAAAGTGTTGTTTGAAGATATCATACGCTTGTCGGAACGTCGTAGCCCATGTGATCTTATCAAGATAGAATCTTTGGGCTCTTCCATCAAGGATCCGGGGAAAGAGTGCGTGAAATTGTGACGGTTTCACTTGGATATGAGAGCAGTTGCTTAAGAAGAGGCGGAGCTTATCATCAAGGAGATCGTACGGCTCTCCTGTGTAGTTCCGATCTTTGTTCCAGGTCTTCATAAACTTCTGCTGGATGTCGCTATCGACGATAGCGTTCGGGATGTTATCCGGGGGGAGTTTCATGTATTCTCCAAAGGTTGCAGGGCCGGATAAGTGTTCGGGGATGGGGTTGGTGACGGGTTGGACGAGATCGGGGTTCTGGAAGCGGTAGGAAGTCGGATGAATAGTAAGAGAGGTCGGAGCAGGTTTATCTTGGATAGTCGGAGCAGGAGTAGGTGCGTTAGGAGGGCTCGTTAGGGTCTTAATAGGTTGTGGTTCGTTAAGACCTTGATGAGGTGCTGCTAAGGGCGTAACTGATGGTGAAGGAGGTTGAGACGGATGGGGATTAGTGGAAGCATTTGATCCTAGTAATGCTGTCTGCCTCCTGAAGGCAGCAGTCCTCTCATCAAACACCATCTCCGTAAACTCCTGCTCTGGCCAGGTTTGTGGGTTCTCGATAGTTTGTAATATGAGAAATTGTGTTGCGAATTTCCCTTTGTGAACCTGTGTAGATACCTCTTTCCTTAGTAGTTTCCTGAGGGCTCTCTTGTATTCATTCGGGGCGCGGTCCCATGTGTCTTCGGTCCATTCTTCAAAATGCTGTTGGAAGTAACCAAGGAGGTCGTATCCTTGATCACTGCCAGATTGAACGATGAATATGAACTTTGCCACATATGTCGTTACTGCGATCTTGTCCTTTTCGTCGTGTGTGATATCGTTGTCCCAAAGGTCGATATTAATTTGTCGGAATGCGGATGCTTGGATGTCTAGTGCCTGCATCTGGTCGCATATTTCTTCGAGCTGGGCTTCTGGGGACATAGCTCGGGCGGTCGGGGCTATCGTGATCAAATGAATGAGACGATGTGGGGTTCGTATTGGTCTCTTCGTATACGAGTTGTCGCTAATAGGAGGTCGAGCGTCGCGTACTAAGTAGGTCGTTCGCGGCCAGACTGAACTGACGGGGATCTTGCTACTTAACGTCAAGGGTCGAACGTTCTTACTAGTTGTTTGCGATGTGGTCGCCTGTCGATTCCGGTGCTCACGGCTAGGCAAACTAGCGGGCGATCGTAATCAACAGTTGGAAGGACTCTCGCGCGGCTGGGCAAACCAGCGGGGAGATTCCTTGTTCTTAGCACAAATAACCTTCTTCTGAGCGCTACCAGGGCCACAGTAAAGTGACGCGGACTATAGCACCTTCGAAGGTTGAGGAATTTGTCTCTTCTACTTAGCTGTCTG